AAAAAAAAAAAAAGACAAAGGAGGATGATTGATGTTGCAAAGAAATTGGTTTTCCACAATAATTACATACACTTGGTATAGGAGAAAAGAAAATTAGATAAACAGTGAAAGGGCATAATGCCTAGGACCACAGAGCAGCCAATGGCGAAAACACTGGCTGAATCAGGGCAACCAGTTTTTGACACATAATGCAGGGTCAGGACAGTACCAATCCTAAGGAGCCTTGCTATCATTAACCCAATTGGGCCCTAATGCAAACAACAGGATCAATGTTTCTTGTTTCCCTTATGTGTCAGGTAGTTCTCCATTTAGGCCCCTAGTCCTTCCTAGATGTACTCACATATATGACTGGATAAGCTTCTGATAATTAAAATTGAGTATTTGATCTGTATAAATCTTGTACTTTTAACCATAATTTTACCAAATCCTAATCATAGTTGAAGCAAGCCAATTGGCAAATTTAATCAAACCTGCTTACCACGAGCCCTAATTGACAACTGATATTTTTATGCTATTTTAGCTCCATTTGATTGTCACTATTTTGTATATATTTTTTGCTTCCTAAAAAATAGCTAAAATGAGGAAGTAATCAGTAAAGAGAACATCCATATTTAATTAAAAGTGAGCAAATTGCTGATGCATGACTCATGTAAGGGGAGAAGTCCCAGCAAGAGAGAGAGATAGAGAGATGAGTGGGCATGGGTTAGTTGGACTAATGAGAAGATGATCAATAGTGAACATCTAAAAAAAGCAGATACCTCTCTTCACAGATTATAACATTTCAGATCACTTTAATTAAAAAAACAAAAAAAAGAAAGCAATCACCTGATTCCAAGAGAGACCCATCAATCTCATCAGTGAAACCAGACATTGAACCTTGTCTGAATTCTGGTCGCATTATCTTTTCACTCTCCGATATTTTGGACTTGACATGCATCAGATCACAGTATGCTTGAGAGGGTAGGGGAAAAGCCTCACGCTTAGATGCCTTCACAATTTCAGATACAGCCTAAAGAAAGCAGAATCATCAACAATGTCAACTTGATGATAGCTACAAAGGCAAAAATGGAAAGGGTAAAATACACCCCAGATGTGCATGTGAGAAGAAAAGACAGTAGCAAGCATGATGTTCAAGACAACAATAAAACTAGGTTAGACGTTACAACTGCATAAAAGTTCAAACCAAGCAAGCCTACTCATGACATAAGTTTTAGCTCAAAGAATCAAATATTAACCGACAGCTCACATACAATAATTAACACTGAAAGTCGCATCTAAATTTGAACTTTGTTCTCCAATACCTAAAAATCTCCATAAAATAAAATTAAAAAGAACAAACCATTAAAAAACAAAAGAACTAAAAGAGGATGAATACCGCATCAAGAACAAAGGCAGTTTAAGCTGTACTGATGAACAAAA